AGATGGGAAGTACAGTGCCTGCACTCTGAAGGAAGGGTGTTAATGTTGCAGTTTAAAAATTGTAGTGTAAAGCACCCTTCTGGCAAGACAGTGATGGAGTGAATGAAGGTGAAAGTTTTTCTTTTTCGGGCCACCCTGCCTTGGTGGGAATCGGCCAGTGTGATAATAAAAAAAAAAAAAATAAAAAAATTGGATGTGTGGAACGGATCAATTGGATTTACATTATTTCTTATGGGAAATATTGCTTCATTTTTCAGACGATTCGGTTTTCGTCAGACTTTTTAGAATGGATTAATCACGAAAACCGAGGTTCCACTGTAAATCTGTGTTTGGACAATTAACCCTTAAATGATCCAAACGTATATATGCGTTCACTTGCGCAGCGCCCCGAATATTTCGAAAAAAAAAAATTATAGAAAAAAAGAGCACATTTTTTAAGTGTTTTAGGATAAAAAAACAGAAATTAGAGTCAGTACTTACAGAGAATTGAGACACTTATTCTTCAACTTGTTGGTTTTCAAAACCATTCATCACTTACAGAGATATGAGGCCCAGAAGTTGGCACTGGATGCTCATTTGATGACAACATCGAGTCCTGCCACTTGCAGAAATGTTGTCGATATACCTTTTTTTCTATTTTTCATATTTTATATAATTTTTAGGTTCTGATAATTACAATTTATAGTAGTTCCTGTCATTTCATAACCATCCTTTATTCTGACATTAGTATTAGGTACTGAAATTGTATTCAGATTGTCACAAATACATTGACAGGTGGACATTTACACCTGCTTTGGCCATTTACTATTGTCTTGGAATATATACAAAGTATTTATAGGTCCCAGCAATGTTTTGGATATGTGGAAGTATATAATAATAATGAGGAGGAGGAGAAGGAAGAGGAGAAGGAGGAAGAGGAGAAGGAGGAGGAGGAAGAGGAGAAGGAGGAAGAGGAAGAGGAGAAGGAGGAAGAGGAGAAGGAGGAGGAAGAGGAGAAGGAGGAAGAGAAGGAGGAGGAGGAGGAGAAGGAGGAGGAGGAGGAGAAGAAGGAGGAGGAGAAGAAGGAGGAGGAGGAGGAGGAGAAGGAGGGGAGGAGGAGGAGGAGGAGAAGGAGGAAGAGGAGAAGGAGAAGGAGGAAGAGAAGAAGGAGAAGGAGGAAGAGAAGAAGGAGGAGGAGAAGGAGAAGGGGAGGAGGAGGGGGGAGGAGAAGGAGGGGGAGGAGGAGGAGAAGGAGGAGGAGGAGGAGGAGAAGGAGGAGGAGGAGGAGGAGGAGGAGGAAGAGGAGGAGGAGGAGGAAGAGAAGGAGGAGGAGGAGGAGAAGGAGGAGGAGAAGGAGGAGGAGAAGGAGGAGGGAGAAGGAGGAGGAGGAGGAGAAGGAGGGGAGGAGGAGGAGGAGGAGAAGGAGGAAGAGGAGAAGGAGAAGGAGGAAGAGAAGAAGGAGAAGGAGGAAGAGAAGAAGGAGGAGGAGAAGGAGGAGGAGGAGAAGGAGGAGGAGGAGGAGGGGGGAGGAGAAGGGGGGGAGGAGGAGGAGAAGGAGGAGGAGGAGCAGGAGGAGGAAGAGGAGGAGGAGGAGGAAGAGGAGGAGGAGGAAGAGGAGGAGGAGGAAGAGGAGGAGGAGGAGGAAGAAGAGGAGGAGGAAGAGAGGAGGAAGAGGAGGAGGAAGAGGAGGAGGAGGAGGAAGAGGAGGAGGAAGAGGAGGAAGAGGAGGAGGAGGAGGAGGAGGAAGAGGAGGAGGAGGAAGAGGAGGAGGAAGAGGAGGAGGAGAAGGAGGAGGAGAAGGAGGAGGAGAAGGAGGAGGAGAAGGAGGAGGAGGAGAAGGAGGAGGAGGAGGAGAAGAAGGAGGAGAAAGGAGGAGGAGGAGGAGAAAGGAGGAGGAGGAGAAAGGAGGAGGAGGAGAAAGGAGGAGGAGGAGGAGAAAGGAGGAGGAGGAGGAGAAAGGAGGAGGAGAAAGGAGGAGGAGAAAGGAGGAAGAGGAGGAGGAAGAGGAGGAGGAAGAGGAAGAGGAGGAGGAAGAGGAAGAGGAGGAGGAAGAGGAGGAGGAGGAGGAAGAGGAAGAGGCGGAAGAGGAGGAGGAAGAGGAGGAGGAAGAGGAGGAGGAGGAAGAGGAGGAGGAGGAAGAGGAGGAGGAGGAGGAGGAAGAGGAGGAGGAAGAGGAGGAGGAGGAGGAAGAGGAGGAGGAGGAGGAAGAGGAGGAGGAGGAGGAAGAGGAGGAGGAGGAGGAGGAGAAAGGAGGAGGAGGAGGAGAAAGGAGGAGGAGGAGGAGAAAGGAGGAGGAGGAGAAAGGAGGAGGAGGAGGGGAGAAAGGAGGAGGAGGCGGAGGGGAAGAGGAGGAGGAAGAGGAAGAGGAGGAGGAAGGAAGGAAGGAGGAGAAGGAGGAGAGGAGGAGGAGGAGGAAGGGAGGAGGAGGGAAGGAGGAGGGGAGGAGAGAGGAGGAGAAAGGGAGAGGAGGAAGGAGGAGGAGGAGAAGAAGGAGGAGAAAGGAGGAGGAGGAGGAGAAAGGAGGAGGAGGAGAAAGGAGGAGGAGGAGAAAGGAGGAGGAGGAGGAGAAAGGAGGAGGAGAAAGGAGGAAGAGGAGGAGGAGGAGGAAAGAGGAGGAGGAAGAGGAAGAGGAGGAGGAGAGGAAGAGGAGGAGGAGAGGAGGAGGAAGAGGAGGAGGAAGAGGAAGAGGAGGAGGAAGAGGAGGAGGAGGAAGAGGAGGAGGAGGAAGAGGAGGAGGAGGAGGAAGAGGAGGAGGAGGAGGAAGAGGAGGAGGAGGAGGAGGAGAAAGGAGGAGGAGGAGGAGGGAAAGGAGGAGGAGGAGGAGAAAGGAGGACGAGGAGGAGGAGAAAGGAGGAGGAGGAGGAGGAGAAAGGAGGAGGAGGAGGAGAAAGGAGGAGGAGGAGGAGAAAGGAGGAGGAGGAGGAGGAGAAAGGAGGAGGAGGAGGAGGAGAAAGGAGGAGGAGAAAGGAGGAAGAGGAAGAGGAGGAGGAGGAGGAAGAGGAGGAGGAAGAGGAGGAGGAAGAGGAAGAGGAGGAGGAAGAGGAGGAGGAGGAGGAGAGGAGGAGGAAGAGGAAGAGGAGGAGGAAGAGGAGGAGGAGGAAGAGGAGGAGGAGGAAGAGGAGGAGGAAGAGGAGGAGGAGGAAGAGGAGGAGGAAGAGGAGGAAGAGGAGGAGGAGGAGGAAGAGGAGGAGGAGGAGGAAGAGGAGGAAGAGGAGGAGGAGGAAGAGGAAGAGGAGGAAGAGGAGGAGGAGGAAGAGGAGGAGGAGGAGGAGGAGGAGGAGGAGGAGGAAGAGGAGGAGGAAGAGGAAGAGGAGGAGGAAGAGGAGGAGGAGGAAGAGGAGGAGGAGGAGGAGGAGGAGGAGAATACATAATAATAATAATAATAATAGGTAATAATAAGTTCTCTTGAAGCATGAAAAACAAAGTTTACCCCTGACAGTGACATGATAAGATGAGATAACATCTGATAAGAGCTGATGTTTGATGAGCATACGCGAGGGTGCAGTGATAACACTTGATAAGAAAAGATTAGAAGTGACATTTGATGAGCATCGGCCCTCCCTTTGTTTTCGCTGGTACACAAACATGTCTGTCTGTCAAGCTCCCTGTCTATCTGTCTATCCATCTAGCTCTCTGTCTCAGAGAGAGCCACAAGACTGGGTCATCACCTTTACTCACATCTTCAAGCAGAGTATGGCACTTTGTCTGGATTTTTTGGGTTATCCTAGGTAATTTACACTTTGTATACCTGTATGTATTTATGTGTACATGTGAGACAGAGATAGAAACAGATTGACAGAGATAGACAGAGACAGAGATACAGAGATAGAGATAGACAGAGATATACAGATAGACAGAGATCGACAGACCCTAAACTTGGGGTTAACATCACTTTCCTCTTAAAAGTGGAGTGTTAATATGACGTTACATCAGTGAATCCTTGGTGTTTGTCATACTGTTTGCTCTAACTGGCGCTCAGTTTAACTGGCGCTACCACAAGGTACTAAGTGGTCCCAGATTTTTTTAATATGGTGCACACCGAGTGTTAAGACCCGTTTAGTGTTGACCAGGCATCTCATTGCAATCATGCCAAATTTGGAGGCAGGAAAATTAAAACATATACAGTGGACCCCCGGTTAACAATATTTTTTCATTCCAGAAGTATGTTCAGGTGCCAGTACTGACCAAATTTGTTCCCATAAGGAATATTGTGAAGTAGATTAGTCCATTCCAGACCCCCAAACATACACGTACAAACGCACTTACATAAATACACTTACATAATTGGTCGCTTTGGGAGGTGATCGTTAAGCGGGGGTCCACTGTATATGTTTGGGGTGCTACTCGTAAGAACGTATATATACGTTTGGACCGTTTAGGGGTTAAAAGGTTAAACTTGAATTGCTTTCGGGCAGCTGTTTAATGACAATTTACTGTAAGACACAAACTAAGATATTCTGTACCAAAATAAGCTATTTGCCAGATCAAGAATGTAACTGTGACTATATATAGAAAGAAAAATCATGAGTGGGAAAATAATAATTTTTTTTTAACACCAGCCGTTTCCCACCGAGGCAGGGTGACCAGAAAAAAGAAGAAACTTTTATCATCACTCTATCATTATTTTGCCAGAGGTGTGCCGATACTATAGTTCAAAAACTTCATTATATCTCCACCCATCCTTCATAGTGTAGGCACTGTACTTCCCACCTCCATGTCACTGATTTTGTAAAAAAACGAAAACAGTCAGTTTAGTACCTCACTTAATGTGGTATCTAGACATGAATTTTTCACCAAATTAGTTGTTTCCCTTCTCAGTAAGGTATCAGAGAAGGAAACATTTGCCCTTATTCACTCAATACCTCACTTCTCAAAAGCACCCAAACATGACACTCAAATTTCCCCTGAACTGCATCATTCCTACCCATCATTCAGAGTGAAAACTCTCTTGTTCCCAACTCTTGAACTTTAGTCCATTAGCAAAATTTGCTTATGTTATGTACAGTAACCATTTGTTGCAGGTATTGTGGTGATCACAGATGGTGTAATAAGCTTACCAGATGCTACAGTGTTTGACTCTCTGCTGGTGCAGCTTAGGAATCAAACCATTGCTTGCAGCTTCCTTCAGCTGGGATCTGTTTACCATCCCCAGGCCTCTCTAGGCTATGTCCCATTCTCAGAACTCATGAACTTTCTAGCTACAGCTACATGTGGAGCCTATTTGGCCACCTTGCCACCTATTGTAAGTATCAAGTACAGTTATGTTTCGTAGCATTCTTTGGATAGAGAGCCCTTCACTAACATTAGGTTTCTATTCAAAGAAGTGAGGCTGCCCTCCCTTTACTTGGATTAAAAATGTTTACCTTTCATTCCCAGGTGCTGTATAATCCCTTAAAGATTTAGCTCTTCCTTTTGAATACTGTATATTAGTAGTGCATTAAGAAGCAAAAAACATGTTGCTTTTAAAATACAGTAAATATTGTACTGTTTTTGATGAAGTTTACTGTTTATTTATGCAGTACAGTATGTAGATAAACTAAGAACTGTAAAGTAATTGATAATGTACAGTTGAACCTCATAAGTAGTGTTCTTGTATTTAGTGTTTTTGTTTTTTAGTCCCCATAGTTTTGTTTGATGTAGGCATGCATTTTGATGTTGGTTGGTTCCTATATGTTTGGTGCATGATGCTTAGCCAGGAGTTCTGTGTTTGGTTGGTACATGATGCCTAGCCAGGGGTTCTGTGTTTGGTTGGTGCATGATGCCTAGCCAGGGGTTCTGTGTTTGGATGGTGCATGATGCCTAGCCAGGAGTTCTGTGTTTGGTTGGTACATGATGCCTAGCCAGGGGTTCTGTGTTTGGTTGGTGCATGATGCCTAGCCAGGGGTTCTGTGTTTGGATGGTGCATGATGCCTAGCCAGGAGTTCTGTGTTTGGTTGGTACATGATGCCTAGCCAGGAGTTCTGTGTTTGGTTGGTACATGATGCCTAGCCAGGAATTCTGTGTTTGGTTGGTACATGATGCCTAGCCAGGAGTTCTGTGTTTGGTTGGTACATGATGCCTAGCCAGGAGTTCTGTGTTTGGTTGGTACATGATGCCTAGCCAGGAATTCTGTGTTTGGTTGGTACATGATGCCTAGCCAGGAGTTCTGTGTTTGGTTGGTACATGATGCCTAGCCAGGAGTTCTGTGTTTGGTTGGTACATGATGCCTAGCCAGGAGTTCTGTGTTTGGTTGGTACATGATGCCTAGCCAGGAGTTCTGTGTTTGGTTGGTACATGATGCCTAGCCAGGAGTTCTGTGTTTGGTTGGTACATGATGCCTAGCCAGGAGTTCTGTGTTTGGTTGGTACATGATGCCTAGCCAGGAGTTCTGTGTTTGGTTGGTACATGATGCCTAGCCAGGAGTTCTGTGTTTGGTTGGTACATGATGCCTAGCCAGGAGTTCTGTGTTTGGTTGGTACATGATGCCTAGCCAGGAGTTCTGTGTTTGGTTGGTACATGATGCCTAGCCAGGAGTTCTGTGTTTGGTTGGTACATGATGCCTAGCCAGGAGTTCTGTGTTTGGTTGGTACATGATGCCTAGCCAGGAGTTGTGTGTTTGGTTGGTACATGATGCCTAGCCAGGAGTTGTGTGTTTGGTTGGTACATGATGCCTAGCCAGGAGTTGTGTGTTTGGTTGGTACATGATGCCTAGCCAGGAGTTGTGTGTTTGGTTGGTACATGATGCCTAGCCAGGAGTTGTGTGTTTGGTTGGTACATGATGCCTAGCCAGGAGTTCTGTGTTTGGTTGGTACATGATGCCTAGCCAGGAGTTCTGTGTTTGGTTGGTACATGATGCCTAGGCAGGAGTTCTGTGTTTGGTTGGTACATGATGCCTAGCCAGGAGTTCTGTGTTTGGTTGGTACATGATGCCTAGCCAGGAGTTCTGTGTTTGGTTGGTACATGATGCCTAGCCAGGAGTTCTGTGTTTGGTTGGTACATGATGCCTAGCCAGGAGTTCTGTGTTTGGTTGGTACATGATGCCTAGCCAGGAGTTCTGTGTTTGGTTGGTACATGATGCCTAGCCAGGAGTTCTGTGTTTGGTTGGTACATGATGCCTAGCCAGGAGTTCTGTGTTTGGTTGGTACATGATGCCTAGCCAGGAGTTCTGTGTTTGGTTGGTACATGATGCCTAGCCAGGAGTTCTGTGTTTGGTTGGTACATGATGCCTAGCCAGGAGTTCTGTGTTTGGTTGGTACATGATGCCTAGCCAGGAGTTGTGTGTTTGGTTGGTACATGATGCCTAGCCAGGAGTTGTGTGTCTGGTTGGTACATGATGCCTAGCCAGGAGTTCTGTATTCATGTCATTTCCAGGAACCTAACTCTTGCAAATTAGGGGTTTATCTGTAGTTTAATTATATGTACAGGGTATTTTGAAGGGTAGGGAAGTGATTATGTATGGAAGATATTATCATTGAAAAAATGAGATATAAGTGTCCCTTGTTTTATGCTGTAGTTGTGTTCCAGGCTCCTTGTTTTATGCTGTAGTTGTGTTCCAGGCTCCTTGTTTTATGCTGTAGTTGTGTTCCAGGGTCCTTGTTTTATGCTGTAGTTGTGTTCCAGGGTCCTTGTTTTATGCTGTAGTTGTGTTCCAGGCTCCTTGTTTTATGCTGTAGTTGTGTTCCAGGGTCCTTGTTTTATGCTGTAGTTGTATTCCAGGCTCCTTGTTTTATGCTGTAGTTGTGTTCCAGGGTCCTTGTTTTATGCTGTAGTTGTGTTCCAGGGTCCTTGTTTTATGCTGTAGTTGTATTCCAGGCTCCTTGTTTTATGCTGTAGTTGTGTTCCAGGGTCCTTGTTTTATGCTGTAGTTGTGTTCCAGGGTCCTTGTTTTATGCTGTAGTTGTATTCCAGGCTCCTTGTTTTATGCTGTAGTTGTATTCCAGGCTCCTTGTTTTATGCTGTAGTTGTGTTCCAGGGTCCTTGTTTTATGCTGTAGTTGTGTTCCAGGGTCCTTGTTTTATGCTGTAGTTGTGTTCCAGGGTCCTTGTTTTATGCTGTAGTTGTGTTCCAGGCTCCTTGTTTTCTGCTGTAGTTGCATTCCAGGCTCCATGTTTTATGCTGTAGTTGTTTTCCAGGTCTCTTGTTTTATGCTGTAGTTGTGTTCCAGGTCCCTTGTTTTATGCTGTAGTTGTGTCCCAAGCTCTTTGTTTTATGCTGTAGCTGTGTTCCAGGTCATTTATGACATAAACAGTTAATTCTACATAAAAAAAATCTTATATATGGTCTGCAAACCATTTAGATTGCATATGGCAAAAGTATAGTGCATATACTGAATTACCAGTGGGGGGGGGAGACCCTTAGAAGAGAATTATTCAGTAACATTTAATATAAAAAAATACAGGTACTTCTCACTTAACCCTTAAACTGTCCAAACAGATCTATGTTCACATGCGTAGTGCTCCAAAAGTAGATCTACGTTTTTTTACATATTTTCAAATATAACAAAAGAAACGTAGATCACAGTTTTTTTTATACGTTTTCAAATGTAAAAAACAAAAAGAAGATCTACGTTTTTTTACATACTTTCAAATGTTGAAAAAACATAGATCTATGTTTGGACAGTTTAAGGGTTAACCCTTTCAGGGTTTTGGACGTACTAGTACGGCTTACGCACCAGGGTTTTTGACGTATTAGTATGCCTAAATTCTAGCGCCCTCATATCTAGTGAAAGAAAGCTTGTAGGCCTACATATGAAAGAATGGGTCTAAGTGGTCAGTGTGCGCAGTATAAAAAAAAGTCCTGCAGCACACAGTGCGCAATGAGAAAAAAAAAAAACTCTGACCGTGTTTTTGGATTAAAACAGCGACTTTGCACTGTATTTTCGTATGGTATTTATTGTATTCTAGTTTTCCTGGTCTCATTTTATAGAATGGAAGACATATTACAGAAATTGAATTGATTTTGACTGGTTTTACAATGAAAAGTACCTTGAAATTGAGCTCCAAGTAGCAGAAATGTTCGATTTTTACTTAAGTTCAAAAGGAAACAAATCATGCTAAGCGTCCAATATACGTCAACTGGTGAGTCTTAATATTCTTTCACAAGTGCGCTGATATTATTTATACCACTTCTACACTAATGCAGTAGTCTGCATAACAGTAAATCTTTTATTTTTTGTGAGAATAAAAATTCAAAGTGGAAAGCAAAAGAATGTAAGAGGGGCGTGGGGACGTGACTAATGAACAGAGGAAATGTTATTTTAGTGCCAGGAATGTCTTTCTTGTTTATTCTGGACCCTATTTGGAAATTGGCATCTTTTGAAATTTGTGCAAAATTGGCAAAATTGCTAAATTCTGACCACTGTATTGGATAGTTGAAATCGGTAAATGGGTGGTTTCTTGTACTCATTCGATAGAAAAAATGGAGTTTTCGCGAAATAGTTATGATTTTTGTCGACTAGTGCATTGAAATTGGTCGAAAATAGGGCTCGAAGTGGGCAAAATCGCCAATGCGTAAACATCGTCGAGACCGCTAACTTCGCGAGAGCATAATTCCCTAAGTTTCCCATCAAATTTCATACTTTTTACTTTTGGTGTCATTTTGATCGGGAAAAGATTCTCTATCTTTTCATAAGAAAAAATATATATATATTTTTTTTTTGAAATTTGGTGACCCTGAGAACAAGTCTGGGAGAGGGCCTGGGGACCCTGAAAGGGTTAATGACTGAGTTAGGTTCCTAAGAATAGGTTGGTAAGTGAATTGGATGTTAACTCTCTGACTGTCGCAAGCCCATTTCTGAAACTGTCATTCTTTGTCACAAAATATTTGAAAAAAAAAAAAATCTTATGAAATGATAGAGAATCTTTTCCTGATGCTAATGACACCAATAGTACAAAATTTGATGGAAAACTTTCAGAATTGTGCTCTCGTGTAGTTAGCAATCTCGGCAATATATACGCATCTGTGATTTCACTGACTTTGAGCCCTATTTTCGATCAATTCCATTGTTCCAGTTGACCAAACTCATAGCTATTTCTGTAGAACTTCATTTGTTCTATCGATTGAGTACAAGAAACTGCCCATTTACTGATTTCAACTACCCAATAAAGTGGTCAGAAATTGGCAATTTGGCCAATTTCACTCAATTTAAAAAATGCCAGTTTCAAAATAGGGTCCAGAATAAACAATGCAGACATTCCTGGCACTAAAATAACATTTTCTCTGTTCATTAGTCACGTCTCTAGGCCTCTCTTATATTACTCTTGC